AAGTTATTTTTTGTTGTGGCATGTTTGCTTATTTATTGTAAGCATTTTTTTTTCTTTTTTACAAATCATCCGCCACCATTTTATAAACAAAGTTACATTTTTCTTTGAATCTTATAGACAAAGAAGATGTCAATAAGAGTACTGTAGAAAACTGAGACCAACAAGCAACATTGGAAAGAACGTAAAGCCAGCCTTTTCCTTCAGAAAACCACAAAATTGTTCTCCTTTCCCAGCAGTTGAGAGACAAAGGAAAGAATATTAAGAGGAGATTTCAAGCTAGAAAAAGGAGAGTATGAGAAACTCAAGAATACATTAAATGGAAGATCAAGGGGGATTATATTTCATTCAGAAAAAGAGGGGTATTTCTGGAAGTCAGCGGGGAGAAAAAGGTCTATTGGATAGCCACAAAGGGCTGATAGTGATGCAGGCCTGGCCCTGTGAGAAGGAAAACAGCTGGATTTAAAACACCAGGCAACAGATGGTCACACACACAGATCACACAGTGTCCAGATTGTGGCAGAAGTTTCAGTCAGAATTCTGGACTAATGACTCACCAGAGGACTCATTCCCAGGACAAACTGTATGAATGTCCTGAGTGTGGGAAAAGTTTCAATCATAATTCCAGCCTGGTAGTACACCAGAGGATTCACACAGGAGTGAAACCGTATGAATGTCCTGAGTGTGGGAAAAGTTTCAGTCGGAATTCTACCCTTGTTATACACCAGAGGACTCACACAGGAGAGAAACCATATGAATGTTCAGAATGTGGGAAATGTTTCAGTAAGAATTCCACTCTGGTGACACACCAGAGGACTCATACAGGAGACAAACCGTATGAGTGTCCAGATTGTGGGAAATGTTTCAGTCATATTTCCAGTCTTATAAGACACCAGACGACTCACACAGGAGAGAAACCGTATGAGTGTCCAGAGTGTGGAGAAAGTTTCAGCCACATTTCCAGTCTAATAAGTCACCAGAGGACTCACACAGGAGAAAAACCATATGATTGTTTAGAATGTGGGAAATGTTTTAGTAATAATTCCGACCTGGTGACACACCAGAGGACTCATACAGGAGAGAAACCGTATGAATGTCCTGAGTGTGGGAAAAGTTTCAGTCATAATTCCACATTGGTGAGACACCAGAGGATTCACACAGGAGAAAAACCATATGAATGTCTAGAGTGTGGGAAATGTTTCAGTAAGAATTTCAACCTGATGACACACCAGAGGACTCACACGGGAGACAAACCGTATGAGTGTGCAGTTTGTGGGAAACGTTTCAGTCAGAATTCCAACCTTGTGAAACACCAGAGGACTCACGTAGGAGACAAACCGTATGAGTGTGCAGTTTGTGGGAAACGTTTCAGTCAGAATTCCAACCTTGTGAAACACCAGAGGACTCACGTAGGAGACAAACCGTATGAGTGTGCAGTNTTTAGCTTTGCTTTCACTAAGGAACAGTACTTGTTTTTAGCTAGTCCAGTTATCTAGGCAACATGCTTCTGCCACCCCAAAATGTGCAAGCTCGACGTCATTTTTTATGCAATTGTTCCTACCTTGTTTCCACTGTTTCTTCAATTATGTTTCTGATAGAAAAATGGCTTTCTTCATTATGCCCTTTTAAAAAAATAATCTGACTCTTCTATTATTTTGGTTTTTAAGAGTGGTATCTTAATCCTTTAAGCAGGTGTGAAAGGCTCAAAAGTATAAAGAAGTTAGCAGCTATAGTTATCAGTCAAACAAACAAAACAACACACACACACTCTGTTGATTAATAAGAAACATGCATAAAAAGGAAATGGTTGGTTCATAAAAAATCCTTGAAAGACATTATTTATGTAGATGGTTTCTACTATAAAACTTATAATAACTTCTGTTTCTCCCTCTTCAGGTCACAAAACCACTGATACTAATAGCAACTTAATCCTGGCACTGGATGTATTGTTACCTAGTCCCACCTGGGTGATCATGAACGGAAGCGCAGTGCCATTGTCACCAGTTGGTGGAGGGATGGTGGGAGAACCTGCCTCTCTCCCCTCCTTTGGTTGGCGGGAATTCTGCGAAGTCCATGCTCGTGCTGCTGCAGTTGATTTTGCCCGTCGTTTCCGGACTTTCCTTGGTGAGAACCCCCAGTTTGCCACCCCAGGAGCCGAAGCTGCTTTCTCACACCGCTTTGCAGAGCACTTCCTAGAACATTTTGAGGCTGAGGTGAGCCGGGCTTACACCAGTGACTCGCCACCCCGCTGTGACATTGCTCCTTTCACTGGTTGTTCTTCTGCACGGGACCTCTCTGAGACCTGCAGTGACTCCTCGGTGGCTTCCCCTGTTGAACCTCCATTGGGCCCACCCTCTGGCCTCTCTAGCAGCCAGTCCCGCAGCTCGGAAGATGTTTCTGCTGTGGCAGCCATTACCGCTACGAAGCCAAAGCTGAAGAAGCGCTTTTCTTTGCGCAGTGTTAGCCGCAGTGTCCGAGGTAGCGTACGTGGCATTCTTCAGTGGAAGACCTCAGCTGAATCATCCTCTGGTGGCAGAGATGGGACACCCACTGGAGCCAACAGTAATTCTAATTCTTCGGGTGGTGGTGACTCAGACCGTTGGACTCACCGATTTGAACGTCTTCGGCTCAACAAAGCCTCCCCAGTCACTCTCCGAGTCGAACTGGCTGGTGTGCGCCGTGAAGGCCTACTGAACTACATTGTGGCTGATGATGGGTCAGGAGGGGGCAGTAGGACACACTGGCAGAAATGCCGTCTTCTCCTGCGCAAAGCAGGGAAGGGAGAAGGGGAGGGTTACCTGTTGGAGTTCTACATACCACCAAAGGTGAGCAATGAGTCATTGTGTTCAGGCAAGAGAAAAGTCATGGGGAAAAGTCAAAAGCTTGGTGTTCCTAATTTAGGCCTTGAGAATAATGTTATAACAGTCTTTTTTTTCTACCCCAACCATCAGGCAACAAAGCCACGGGTCAGCATTGCTTGTTCCTGTGTAATGGATGTGCGGACAACAACTCCACTGGAGATGCCAGACAAAGAGAACACTTTTGTGCTGAAGGTCAGAAAAAGATTGATGGGGTAGAGTTAAGATTTGGTAATAATTGAAACAGTAGTAGTTATATATCTATAGCCAAGGGATGCGTAGAATTGAATCTCCTCTTCTGTTGAATCAGAATCCATCACTAACATCTGGCTGGAGTTTGTTTTTAGCAGTTGTCTGCTTCTTGCCTGTTGCATTTTCATTTAGAGAAAATTGATGGTCCTTTCTGGCCTCCCTCTCTAGCAATGTTTCCTACATTTGGCAGTGGTGATATTTCTGAGCAGATATACTCCTTCCAAACTTTTTTTATGTCTTTGGGAGGAGAGAATCCATCTATTTTTATATAAAATGACTTCTTAAACAATGTGCTGGAGAATATGCATGTTGGAGAAAGGGATTTGGGTTCTCAGTGATTCTTAAATTTAAAACCATTGGGAATTCAAGCAGATAACCACAAACACATCTAGCAAAGAATTCAAAGCTGAATGAGGGGATGGGTAATCAGCTGCTAAAAGATCTTTTCAGTTGCTGATATTGATTGTTGGAGCCCTTCTATCAAAAGCCAGAGAGAAGGTTCTTGATATTTTTTGTGTCACCTTGATAGGAACAGATGGATTAAGCCCTTGGATTTGAATTCTGCTTATGTGCATGCATGATACCTGAAAATGTATTTATTTATTTTTATTTATTAAATTTTATTTTACCTGTCTCTCCTGAAAAATAAGTCTGGGTAGTTTGCAAGGTATAAAACAAATAAAAACAATTAAAACATTAAAACTACACATTTTGAAGTTGTGTACACTGTGTAGTTTTGAAAACTACACAGATTGAAATATTATTGAAAGCTGTACTAAAGCCAAAGCTGAGAGAGGTAGGAAATGAATGGGATGGGGATCAGATCTTCTGATGTTTTTCAAGTCCACCCTCACTGATATGAGTTCATCATTTCAGAGGGAAACCGGGCTTTAGAATAGAACCTATCCTATAGTGTTGTATATTTATTATTTCCCCCCCCCCCTCTTTCCTCCAAGCTGTCAAGTTCCTTGGAGTACATCCTTGAGACTGTTGACTCACTGCAGATGCGATCATGGTTGGCTGACATTCAGGAATGCATGGGCCTGGGGTAAGTTAACCTAAGCATCAAAGAAGGCCACAACTCAGTGGTGGAATACATAGTTTATAGGTTTAAAGTCCCAGATTCAGTCAACAAGTAAAGAGAGAAAAGTTATATGGCCTAATAAAAACTTGATGGACTGAGACTTTCTCTCTGAGAAGTAGCTGGTTCTGTACAATAGACCAGGTGTGAAAAATGTGTAACTGTTCAGAAGTTTAGACAACAGCTCTATCATTTCTCATTATTGGCAATGCTGGCTTGGTCTTTTCTCCACAGATTGGGATATAATAAACAATGATTCATTACCCAGTTTTATATGAAGCAGTTTCTCATGACAGCTTATAGAAGGAAGATTAGGGTAAGAGAGACAGAGAACAGATATGCAGGTATTAACAACAATATTTACTTTACCTTAATTGAACAGTGGTATAATCCTGAGGTTTGGATGGCTGTGGAACAGGTACATGATTCTTACTCCTTTAAACAAGCAATTGGATAAGAGCTTGACTTTTTGCTTCCAACAGAAAAAGCTAATTCCTCCAGAAAATTCACAGATAGGGTTTAATGGTATAGGAAAAATGTTGTGTGGCAAGTGCTGTGTGGTGGCAAAAATTAAAAGTTGTCTGGTGGCCCCTTTTCTAACTAATATCATTTATTAAAAGGCATAAGCATTTGTGAGCTTCAGCTCACTTTTTCAGGTGCATAGTGTGATTTGATTGATATAATAAGAGGTAGAATCTTTCTTTGTAACATCAAATGGTTAGATATATGTGATCTTGGACTATGAAAACATTGCTAATGATACTTGTCTCCACAGAGAAAGTACTGATAGCCTGGAGCAACCATGCATGAACCACTCAGATAGCATGCCCAGCCGGGAACTTCCCCTGGTGCCGAGTGAGAGCAATGAACAGCTCAGCCAAGGTGTGTATGCGATGCAATGTATACCCAGACTGTTATGCCTTTTTGATCTCTTGATAAAGACAAAAAGGCTTTCCAATGATTTTTGTGTGTGCAGGCAATCTGTTTGCAATAGAATACAGGTAATCCTTGAGTTACAACAGTTCACTTAGCACCCATTTGAAGTTATGACATAACCCCCCACCCCACCCTGGGTCCCACCGCAAGTATTAACAACATAGTCCAAAGTTAAGAACGTTGCAGAACCATGGCAATCATTCACACTTAGGCCTGTGGAGACTCACTTACCTTATGGCGATCCAGTGAGCCGTCGGTTCTTTTACCTGCTTCAGTGCATTTGCGGAGAACAGAGACCTGAAGTAGTATAGTACTAGATCTTGTACAGTACTTTTCCTTTTCACTTTAAATAGTTTTATTAATTTATAATATGACATATAAAGACAATACAAAAGCAAATATTAGGGAAATTAGGAAAGGAAAAATGGATAGTGGGGGAAAGTAAGGGAAAAATTAAAAAAAAGGCATTGGTGCAATAAAATAAGGCATTAAGATCTACTCTCAACTTTTTAAATTTTTCATTATAATAAAAAATAGTAATTTATGTAACAACAAATCTAACTAATTGGTAAAACCCAAACTCAAAGTTTGTTTTTTTCCACCTCAAGCATAAAGTCCAGAAGTGGTTCTCAAATAGAAATGAAGGTATTTGTATTTTTTCTTTAATCAAAACAGTCAATTTAGCCATCTCAGTTAACTCCATCAATTTTTGTAGCCATTCATCCATTGTGGGGATCGAAGTGACCTTCCATTTCTGTGTATAGCGTAGTCTTGCTGTTGTCAACATATATAACATCAGAGTTCTGAATTTTTTTCCAAGCCTTGTTCCATTAAACCCAAAAGAAAAGTTTCTGGTTTTCTTTCTATATTCACTTTAAGAATTTTCTGTACTGAGATATGAATCCTATTCCAGTATAGGTTTGCTTTATCACATGTCCACCATAAATGATAAAAAGTCCCTTCCTTACATTTACATTTCCAACATTAATTTGAGGTACCTTTATGCATTCTTGACAATTTATCTGGAGTTAAATACTAATGATACATCAACTTATAGACATTTCTAAAAATTATAATTTAATGTAAAGTTTAAATCTTTATTCCATATATTCTTCCATTGTTCAAGCATTACATTATATCAATGGTGGGTTACGACCAGTACGCTCTGGTACGGGTGTACCGGTGCATGCCGGGAGCACCAGTTACCGTTCTGGTATGGTGCTCCGGAGGGGCCCGCCTGCGCTCCTTACTGGTATTTGAAGTTTTTGGGACTTCCACGCACATGCACGAAGCAAACACCGCTTGCACGATGCTCCGCTGAGCAGCTGGAGCATCAGAGGCATCATGGAGCATCGTGGGCAATAAGTATGCATGTGCGCACTGTGCGCGTTCATGTGGTGGATGCACGGCCCCGTTGCACCGTACCGTAACCCACCACTCCATTATATGGAAAATTCCTTGCCCACTGAATCATACAATGCTTTACATGTTCACTTTCCAGATTTAAATTCAATAACACTTTATTGATTTTAGCAATAATATGCTCATCACTGCCATACAGTAGAATATCTAGTTCATTTTTAACAAAGTTAAACCCATAATTCTTTTTATCTAATTTAAGTCTTTCTTTCAGTTGTAAATATGTAAACCAATGGCAAGCACTGCAGTATTTTAAGCCTCTGTTCTCTGTGAACTGAGCCCTGTACAAGATCCACAGAAAAAGGCTTTGCAAACGGAGAGGCCTTCCCTCTGTTTGTAAAACCTTTTGCCACGGATCTGGTACAGGCCTTCGTTCATAGAGAACAGAGGCTAAAGTACTGTAGTGCAAGATCTTGGCCCTCAGAAGCTTCCAGTCTGAAAAGCACTTGCAAGCCGATGGGAGGCTTGAAGCAATGCGATTTTGCAACCCCAAAGTCTTACCAGTTTGCAAATACTTTTCGCACCGAGACTGCAAAGAGGCAAAGAAACTGTGGCAGAGAGGCTGGAGAGCTCACTAGATCTTCACAAGGTAACTGACCCAGTATGGCGGGGGAGGGGGGGTGGAGCAATGATGGGAACCCCAGGAGAGGGAGCATGAGATATCTCAGGGGTTGGGGTAGGCTTTGGGTGGTCTGAAGCAGGTGGTCTGTTCCATCGTTACCACCCCCCACCCCCATGGCTTTCTCCACCCTGAGATAACTCATGTGCACTTAACTAGCCACACATTCGATTAGCTAATGTGTGGGTGAAAGGAGGGAGTGATCACATTTGTTTTATGTGATTCACTCCAATGAATCCTCGGGCTATGAATGTAATTGGCAGGCTCCATAATTTTGTAACTCAAGGATTACCTGTATGCTGCAGAATGCTTCTCTCAAAGACAACATTCTCTGAAAAGCTCTATCATGCAATATCTTAGTCAGCAGGCATAGAAGTACTACCATATATACTTACAAAGAAGCCAAGAATTGTAGGTGCTAAACCCCCATCCTCCACATGCTCATTGAATTCCACTTATAAGGTAATACAACTTATTTGTGTATATCCCAATTATACGTGTATTAGCCCATCTACAGATAAGCTGATCCTCAATTTTTTAACCAATATGGATGAAAAATGGATAATGTGTAAATTATCTTAAACAGAGGAAGTATTATAATAGCATTCTGAGGCTTCTGTCTAGATCAGTTAACCAGCTACACTAAGCAAAGATACCAGCTAATAGAAATTTATCTTAAACCATTTAAATATTGGATGAAATTTCAGGGTTTTTAAACAAGAAAATTTTTCTAAATTGTTTAAAAAGTAGGTGGAATCATCATGGGGCATGACTGTCAAATCAGAACTGGGGAGACCAGAGTTCAAATCCCAGGCAAGATAAGAAGCTGATTGCGTGACCTTTAGTCAGTAAATCTCAACTGAATCTTTGTACTTTATAGGATACTGTGGCAATCCAGCAATAACTGATTGCCAGTAAAATTTATTTAGCATTTTTTTTTAACACATTAAACCAAAACCAGCTTTCAGGCACAAACTACCCATTCAAGATAAACACATGAAAAATAATGTAAATTAGTATTAAATCCAGGATTTGATATTTATGAAAAGAAAACCAAGTAAAACTTAGATAAACACTACTAATTTCCCAAGAAAAATAGGTAAAGATTTAAAAAAACCATGCCTGAAATCAAGCTTACTGTTCAACAATATAGAAGTGCTTTTCTGTAGTTGTCTTCTGCAGTGTATGTTCAACTTCGAATCAAGCCTACAACTGTAGAGTTTCCTGATGGTCTCCCAGCCAAGTAATTGAATCTGTCCTCACGTAACTTTTTTCAGAATCTGTCAAGGTCAGCTAGGTGCTTCTGTTTGCTGTAGATTAGGAACAACGGAAATGAGCACAAAGCATGTGCTCTCTTGAGGAGATGGCAAAGACACTCCCTCCTTTGCGGTTTAGGTACAGTTATGAACTTTGGAAGAGGAAATGACCTGGTTTTAAGAAGTTGGAACAGGGTTCATAGGATTCACTTAACAGCCATGTTACTAATTTGGCAACTGTAGTGATTCACTTAACAAATGTGGCAAGAAAAGTCGTAAAATGCAGCAAAATTCATTTAACAAATTTCTCACTTAGCAACATAAATTTTGGGCTCAATTGTGTTGTATGTTGAGGACTACCTGTAGTTCTTATCTTACTACTACAGCTGAGACCAGAATTCGTGTTGCTACGCAAGGCGATTGTTAAGGAGTTATGTCGAATTTTATCACCTTTCTTTTACTACAGTTGATAAATAATCACTGCAATTATTAAATGAATCACACAGTCATTAAGTGAATCTTGCTTCTTCCATTGACTTTACTTGTTGAAAGCTGGCTAGGAAGGCTGCAAATGGTGATCACATGACCCCGGGAGGCTGCAAGTGGGCTCAATACAGGCTGATTGCCAAGCACCTAAAGTCTGATCCCATTACAGTCATTGTAAGTGCAAAAACCAATTGTAAGTTGTTGTTTTTTTTGCTGCCGTTGCACTTGAACAGTCACTAAACTGTTGTAAGTTGAGGATATCTATATAAGAGAGAGAAAAGAAATATAAGGCAGTAGCATGGATTGAGAAGGAAGATTTTATCTCTGACTGAAAAGCATAAAGGAGTTATAGGCATTCAGAAAGTCCAAGGAAGGGCCTATACTTGTTTTAGAAGGAGCCCAAAACACTTACAGAGAAGATACATAGGGAAATAAGAAGAAAACTATCAATATAAGCAGAAATAGCTTCTAGAGCAACAGTCCCCAATCTTTCTGGCTCTTCGAACCGATGGTGGTGAAAGCGGGGGAAGGGGGAGAAGGGATGGTTTCGCACACGTTCCCATTGCTTGTGCAATTAGAGCTTCACATGCTCGCAAGCCACTTTGCGGTCTGGTTCCCAACGGGCCACGAACTGCGTCTGGGTTGCGGATCTGGAGTTGTGGACCTCTGTTCTCTGTTCTTTCTGTGTATGTACTCTTCAACCATTTCTAAACTGGCTGAAATATCTTGGCCTGAAATGTTTGGTCTCCATTGCCAATATTCAGTATTTCTTGTCTGTTTCAGTCAGGGTGGATTTGATTTAAATCAAGTCGATTTAAATCATGATTTAAATCACTAGTAAAAAGGCTTGATTTAAATCAACTCGATTTAAATCATGATTTAAATCACTAGTAAAAAGGCTTGATTTAAATCAACTCGATTTAAATCATGATTTAAATCACTAGTAAAAAGGCTTGATTTAAATCAACTCGATTTAAATCATAATTTTTAAAGAGCGACTGTCATCTCTGTCCTGCAGCGGCTCCTCCTCTGACCCCTGTTGACTCACCGACAGTCTCATTCACTTTAGTGAGACAGCTGGTGATGCAGCAGTGACACAACCAGGTGAGAGATGTGGCAGGCAGCAGGTGAGTGGATGCCTGCTAATAGGTGCTGCCATGATGGATCTGAAATAACTGGTGCTCTTTAATATTGTATTTATATGCTGCTTAGAAGGTTTCATTTTTACTGCTTGCCCTTCCTCCTCACACTTAGAGCCTGGCAGTACAGATGGATTTCTCTTCAAACAAT